TGCTGTATGGCCCTCAGGATTTGACTTTTATATAATTTTTGTTGATGTGAATAAAGTATGGTTCATTTTATTGGAGCAGGTAGATTCTAAGATGGTCCCCAGTGATCCCTGCCTCCTGGCATTTACCCCCTTCTATAATCTCTTCCCCTTGAGTACAGGTACAACTTGCCTAGGTATACCTTCTATAGGTATAGAATATGCAAAGGGGATGTCCCTGTGTGATTAGGTAACATAAGAGCATAACTTCCATGTTGCTAGCAAGCTCTCTGTATTGCCTTCTTGAATTACAAGCTTTGATGAGATAAGCAGCCATATTGGGGAGGTCCACTTTGCGAGGAGCTAAGATTGACCCCTTGCCAACAGCAAGCTAGGAACTGAGACCCTAAATCCAGTTCACTTCATAAGGAACTGAATCCTGGCAACAACCACATGAGCTTGGCATCATATCCTTCCCCACTTGAACCTTCAGATGAGACTCCAGCCATGGCTGGCAATTTGATTACAGCCTTGTTAGAGACCCTGAAGCAGAGGACCCAGTACATCTGACCCACAGAAACTATGAGATAATAAATGTGTGTTTTTAAAAATAAACAGCTACATATGTGGCAAGTTCTTATGTAGCCAATAGATATCTAATTCAATTATGAAGCAGATAATATTTTCCAAGACATACTAAACCCAGTATATTACTAGCCTCCTTTACTTTCATAGTGCTAGGTGATTTATGTGCAAGGCTGACAGTTTTTATTGGGAATTGAGCCAGTTAGGAATGGAGTGAACTAGAAATGAGTAGCAATGTACTTAAAAAAGAGGGACTCAACCTAGGTGTGGAGGCTGACCCTCTCAGGCCAAGGTATCTAAAGAGCTTGGCAAGTTGCTAAAATAAGAGCAGCGGCCTCTACTGGGATAACCTACCTAAAGTCCTTTGCATTTGCTGTTTCTTCCATCGGAATCATTCTTTCCCCAGATATCCAGATGGGTCCTATCCTTGCTTCACTTAGAGAGGCCCTCCCTGTCTGCAGTAAATAGACTGTGACTCCCTATCACTATCTGTTCTCTAACCTTGCTTTATTATTCTTTAAAGCACTTAACACTGCCTGACATTATGTTACATACTGATTTGTTTATTGTCTTTCTCCTTCACTAGAATATAAGCTCCTCATGGGTAGGAACTCTGCTTATTTTGTTCACTACTGCATATGCAGCATTTACAACAGTACTTGTCATATAGTAAATGATCAGCAAATATTTTTTGAGTGGATAAATCTACCTTCCAGTTTTTGTTTCTGTTTTGTGGTACGCGGGCCTCTCACTGTTGTGGCCTCTCCCGCTGCGGAGCACAGGCTCCGGACGCGCAGGCTCAGCGGCCATGGCTCACGGGCCCAGCTGCTCCGCGTCACGTGGGATCTTCCCGGACCGGGGCATGAACCCGTGTCCCCTGCATCGGCAGGTGGACTCTCAACCACTGCGCCACCAGGGAAGTCCTACCTTCTAGTTTTTACATTGACCAGAATTTGGTTGTCTGAAGGTTGGTGGGAGTTTTAAGGAGTGATGCCTATTCTTGGTCAGGACCCCAGTTAGTGGCTGAGAGATGAGGTATTCAGTCTTCACACAGGGAGATGCAGTGGCAGAAGCATATATACAGGCTGATATTTAGCACAGCTGCTTAAGAATAAGGCAAGAGCTGTGCGTGCTGCAACTCTGGGATTAAGCAAACATCAGGGTTGAACCAGGGGGTCTGGGAGTAGTGAGGCAATTAAGTCTAGACTGTTAGAATCTGGAGAAATGATTTAATTCCATACCTAGACCCCTCTTCATTCTTTATTCAGTTCATTTGTTCATGCAATAATTCAGTGCCTGGTGTTATTCTAGGTAAAGGAAATACAGAGACAAGTCAGGTAATATCCCTGTTTTCATTAGACTTACATTCTAAAGGAGGAACATGGTCAACACAAACTAATAAATAATTTCTTATAGTGTTCATTGCTATGGAGAAATCATCATAAAAGAAGGTACTGGAATAAAGATGAATTTCATCTCCATGTTAGTGCTGTGTTGGAATCACTAGTTATTACTCAAAAAGAAGAGTTGCTCACACAGGGCATGCTCTGAGTAATGAATTACTAAGTAACTGGGAATTAGTAACTGTCATTTTCTATCTATAAATGATTTCTTAGATTATTAAGATGTGCAGTGTGTGTTCTACATTTATCAAAAAAATAATTGATTATAATCAGGTTTATAGGTAATTGGTGTGAATACTTGATAACCACTTATAGAAGAAAGTAAGGTAGAATTTAGCTTCGGGGTTTACCACAGTATTTATTTGTAAGCTTTAAATATGTTTGACTTAAGTATATTAGAATTGATTAGTCAGTCACATTTACTGAGACAGTATAGTCAAAGTTCAGCTCTCTGAAACCCTCAACAGTGATTTGTTCTATGCAGATAAGATTTCTATGAAAGTGAGTATATACTGTCCATTAAAAAGCAAAACTTAGTTTATCATTAAGAAATATTTATTTAATTTCTACTATTTCAGGCACTGTGTTAAGTACCAAATATGCATTGAAGAAAACAAGTATTGTCCTTGTCCTTATGGAGTTTTTGGTCAAGTAGGGGAAACATACCTTAAACAAGTAAAATTAGAAATTGTGGTAAATGCAAAGAAGACAAAGAACAGATTGTTATGAGAATATAACAAAAGGAATATGGTTTAGGTTAGAGGAGTTCAAGAACCGTGAAGGATCTGAGATTTTTAACCCTACTTAAAAAGGCTAGCCTGCCAAAGTGTTCTGAATATTGTCAGAAGACATGAGACTCTTGGGTCAGAGCAGAACTTTATTACTCACAGCACAGCAAGTCACGTGAGTATGGGCATATTTGTATGTTGGTTCCCCGTGCCTCCAGGCCTCCTGGGGGGACGCAGTTTGGGCCCATGTGAATGGTACGTATGCTGTGAGTTTGTGTCACAGGTGAGAACTTTAAGCTTGGACAATCTACAGCTTTTGCCATAAGCAGTAAGCAGGCCTGCTCTTTGTGTGCAGGGCAAAGTTACCTCATGTTTCAAGGTTGCTTGCTACAAATGCAAACCTATAAATGGCCTGGATGAAGAGCAACCAGGGCCTCGCATTGGCATAACTTGCAAGAACGTGTGGGGACACTTAGGCCATGGTGAATGGCCTCTTCATCAGCAAGGAGAGATTCCACAGAAGTCCTCTCCAAGATTTTTTTTTTAAACAGCTTTACTAGAGTATAATTGGTATACAGTAAACTGAACATAAAGTGTACAGTTTGGTAAGTTTTGACGTATATGCACACCCATGAAAGCATCACGAGTCAAGATCAGTGAATGTATTTCTCACCCGCAAAAGTTTCCATGTACCCCTTTGTAATTCCTCTCCCCGCCATCTCCTTTCTTCTTCCCCAGGCAAATTCTGACCAGCTTTTTGTCACTATCTATTGGTTTACCTTTCCTAGAGCTGTGTACAGATTGAATGATACAGCATGTATTGTGTATTCTTATTTGTCTTTCATGCAGCATGATTGTTTTTAGATTCATCCATATTGTATTATATATTTACTTCTGGTTAGTATTCCATTGTGCAGATATACTGTAGTTTGTGTGTGCATTCACTTGTTGATGGACATTTGGGTTGTTTCCAGTTTGGGGCTGTTACAAATAAAGGTGCTTTGAATGTTCATATAGAAGTCTGTATATGAACATATACTTTTTTTTTCTGTTGGATAAACATGTAGAAGAGGAATAGTTTGACCATGTGGTGGGTATATCTTTAACAGTTTAAGAAAATGGTAGGCTGTTTTGCAGAATGATAATACAATTTTTCCATTCTACCAACAGTATACAAGAGTTTCAGTTCCTCTATCCTCACCAACATTTGATTTTTAAAAAATTTTTGCCATTCTAACAGGTATATTAGTCATATCTCATTGTGATTTTCTTTCAAATTTGACTCCAAAAGCAAAGGCAACAAAAGGAAAAATAAACAAGTGGTACTGTATCAAACAAAAAAGCTTCTGTACAGCAAAAGAAATCATCAGCAAAATGAAGGGCAGCCTACTGAATGGGAAAAAATATTTGCAAATCATATACCTGACAAAGGGTTTGTATCTAATATATACATAGAACCCATACAACTCATAGCAAAACATCAAACTATTCCGTTAAAAAATGGGCAAAGGATCTGAGTAGACATTTTTCCAAAGACAGCGGATAGATGGCTAACAGGTACGTGAAAAGATACTCAGCATCACTAATCATCAGCAAAGTGGAAATCAAAACCACAATGAGGTATAATCTCAAACCTGTTAGAATGGCTAGTATCAAAAAGACAAGAAATAGCAAGTGTTGATGAGGTTGTGGAGAAAAGGGTGGGAATGTAAATTGACGCAGCCACTAGGAAAGGGTATGTAGGTTCCTCCAAAGAAATTAAAAACAGAAATGATCCAGTAATTCCACTTCCAGGTATTTATCCAGGATTTTAAAAATATTTCTGTTACTGATTTCTAATCTAAAATTTGGTTTTTATACTTTGTATGACTTGGAACCTTTTAAATTTATTTAGACTGTTTCTATCAGAAATCATTGATTTTGGTAAATGTTTCATGTGTACTTGAAAATAATGGCTACTTTGCTGTTTTGGATAAAGTATTCTATAAATGTCAATTACTGATTTTCTTTGTACTTGTTTTATCATTTATTGAGAGAAAGAAGATCTTCAACTGTAATTGTTGATTTGTCTATTTCCTTATAGATTAAGTTTCAAAATATATGGTCCACATATCACGTGCAGTAAATAATCTGGGAGGAAAACTACTGTTACTGGCATTATTTTGAAAGACCTTATTAGAACACATCTTTGGTTTGTCCTGTAGTATAGGCTATTTCTGGCACCATCTTCACATACAAAAGAAAATTTTATTTGCTACATTTTATTTTTTATCATTTATCTAATCCATTTTATTGTTTTGCTTGGCAGCTTCTATGTTTTTGAAACAGGCATTTGAAGGAGAATACCCTAAATTATTGCGTCTTTATAATGACTTATGGAAGCGTCTTCAACAATACGGCCAAAGTATTCAAGGAAATTTTAATTCAGGTGGAACTGCAGACCTCTATGCTGACTTACAACACATGGAAGATGATACACAAGACATATTCATACCAAAGAAGCCAGATTATGAGTATGTTTGTTTAATCAAACCTGTTTGTTGGGCCTGTTAAGGATTTTGTCTTTTATTTGTATTATAAGTTAGAAAATGGGAAAACGCTAATCTTTGTGAATACTTGTAATGATTACTATTTATTTATTTACTTTAAAAGACTTCACAACACTTTTAACTGAAGAAGTCGAAATTTATCCTTAGTTGAGCAGCCTGGTTCCTGATTAAGATTCATTTTAAAGTTTATCACCAATTAAGGTGAATAGAAGCTAAGAGATGAGCATATGTGGTCATTATCGTTTAATTGATATTATAAGATAACCTGTAATTACATCAGACAGCATCGTTATTGATGGACCACTGGCATAAATGTGATATAAAAGGAAATGGTGTGTTCAGGAACTATAGCGGAAATAAATCTTATGTTGGGATAGATTCTCCATCTGGTGGGAAAAAACTAAGTACAGTCAAAATTAAACCTGAAAATCTCTTAGATTATTCATGAAGTACAGTATATGTAGCCATATTTATAAGCCACATCAGAAAAATTATACCATCTCAATAAGCTTAAACCAGCCAGCTTTCCTCCTAAATTGAAAAAGAGTATTGTTTTCAGATTTCTCTTTGAGCACCAAATCAGTTGATTGGCTTGCACACCATCTTTAAACACTAGAATCATTTATTGTGATGAGACTGACTCAAGTAACAGTAGATTCTGATCACTGACCTTGTAAGAAAAAGGTTAGATTTATGAGTGCTATTTTAATGTTTATCTTAAAAATTTTTTCTTCTGAATACTTATAGCTGAATTGTATCCACTGTAGTAAGAAGTTCTGACTGGTAAAATACAGGACATAGAAGTTTTGACTGGGAAAACAAGTGGCGTAAGGGTAGGCTGGTATGATAGAAGGAGACGCTGTTGTTCTCTTCAGTTACTCTTTCATGCTAAACATAGAGATTAGGTGAGGACTAATGGAAAGAGGGGACAAGAATACTGAAAAGTTATCTGTTGATCTTCAAAGATCTTGTAATGTATTAAGGTTTTTTTAAGTATACAAAATAGCATATATAGTATGGTATTTCTGGCTTAGTTTTATTTTTAAATTCATATGTTGGCACTGAAAAGCTCTGGAAATATACATAGCACAAGGTAATAGTGTTTTATGTCCAAGAGGTAGAGTTTTTATTCTGTATTTTCTGCTTTTACTTAAAATGAGCATATGTTACTCGTGGAGATAGAGCAAAGGCAGTAAATGCAATGTAGAGAAAAAAATCAGAATGAAAAAAAAACACTGTGTTTTGGGAAATCATTATCACCTTTTGGAGACTGACTTCAGTAAGGTGGGGAAGAGGACTTATGACCTGTATTCTTGTAAGAAACCAAAAAATAATGAGGATATAATAAGGAAACAATGACAATATGATTTATATATTCTTTTGAGAAGTGAGGCAAGAAACAAACATAAATTTGACCATGGTAGCTGAGCCAAAGGAAAGCTTTTTGTTGTTGTTTTTAATGATAGAGGGAAAGCTGAGAGTTTTTATAGATAGAAGTAGCCAGTGGAGAGAGAAAGTGAAGAAAAGAGATAATGAATGGAACGAGACCTTAGAATAATCTGAATAGAATCAAGGCACAAATAACCAGGTTAACATTTTTCATCTTGAGTATTTATGCTGAATTTTTGAGAGCTGTTCTTGCTATGAAGAAAATAAAACAAGATAATGTGACAGTGTTTTATATAGGGTGGTCATAGAAGACCGCTATGAAAAGGTAACATTTGATCCAAGATCGAGATAATGTGAAGAAATCAACTATGGAAGATTCGGAGTAAGATTTTTGCAGGCAGAGAGAAGAGCACATTTAGAGTCTGAGAAAATTAAGGTGGGGAGGTTGAGGAATAGAAAGCTGAACACGGTGAATGAGGGAGAGTGGGGGGTAAAAAATTGGGTCGTAGAGGAGGGGAAATGTAAGATCATGTAGGGCTTTACTCACCATGATATGGGGTTTAGAGTTTATTCAAAACACTGGAAACCTTTGCTTTTAAACAGAGGAATGAGATGAACTGATAAACATTTAAAAATTAGCATGCCGGCTTCTTTGTGGACAACTA